CCCCCCCGGTCTGTGATATTATATGTAATTCACGGAGTGAGGTAGGCAGGGGTTGTGATGGCAAATTGTGGTCTTTCAAGTTCATCCCAAAGGTTCTCAAATGGATTGAGATCTTGGGATAGTGATGGGAGATGTATGAAGTCTCTGTCATGTTCTTTAAACTGTGCATGCACAATTTGGACATAGTAAGTGGAAACATCTTTGTCTTGGAAATAACTATTTCACTGGATGCACTTGATCAGAAATTATGCTAAAGTAAGCTGTGGCTTTCATTTTGTCTTCTAAGGGGATTAAAGGACTTAGGGTATACCACGAAAATATTCTCTAAAGAGGAGTGTGGGATTCATTGAACTGCATTACCTTTCACCAGTCCTTATTAGTTTAGTGATGTATGCAGTTGTCTCTTACTGCCATAATCCATGTTCTTCCCAGGGTACACATGGAGATGGCTGTGGATATTCCTGCATTGAATATTCTCTAAACCATGACTTCACCACCAGAGACCTGGACTACATGAGAGGAGTGTGGGATTCATTGAACTGCATTACCTTTCACCAGTCCTTATTAGTTTAGTGATGTATGCAATTGTCTCTTACTGCCATAATCCATGTTCTACCCAGGGTACACATGGAGATGGCTGTGGATATTCCTGCATTGAACGTATCTCGGTTGATGTATTGTGGCCACATATATATTCCTTATAGCAGACATTTTATTCAACTTTTTCCATTATTGATTAACTTGAATGATTATTGTCTTGGAGCAGCCAACCCATGAAACTGTCTTGGCCACTGGGACATTTGCCAGACATGAATGCTGCAATATTTACCATTTCTCATATGTGTTAGACTTACTGCAACTGTTATAGTACTGCAGAGATCATAATGTGCATCTGTAGCTCTGGTTAGACTCAATTCTGGAAGGATACAGAGTTCATAATAAAGTGGCCATAATAAAACCTCTGAAATTTGTTTCTAATAGCTTTTTTGTTTTTAGTTATAATTAAGTAGTAAAACAAAGTTAAAATCTCTCATCATATCCTGGTTTCATTCCCCAGTTATAACGTAACACATTTTTTTTGTACTCAGTATAGTTGTTTTCATTATTGGTGTATTCTGGTTTTTATTCCTTTTTATAATCATTTTATATTTACAATAAACTTTTTTTTCCTGCTTTAATCTTTGTACAAACAAATCAGTCAGTTAGTAACATCTTTCAAAGACTTACTTGTTCTTTAAAGTATTTGAATTTACATCAGTTTTCAATTGCTGTGATATAACCTTAAAACAGTTACACTAACACTTAATTAAAGTCATATATTGTTTGTCTTATCAAGTGTGTTATTGCAAGAGTACTGTAGAAAAGTACTTATGAAACTTTTAAAATATCAACACTTTTTTTTAGAATGTATATAAATTTTGAACAAATAATGAGGGGTTTGAAAGCTATTTCTTCTTTACATACATACTTATATAAATTAATTTACGTGCTTCCAATAACAGTTGAAGAGCTGCTTTTTCTAATATATTTAGTGTTAGCATTTAAGTCACACTTGTAAGTTTAAAGTAATTTCTTTATCTAATAAAGATAACAGTAGTGGCCTAAGATAACTAGAAATATTGTTTTTACAGTATCATGATCTTTTTATTACAGTGGTGTAATTTACTTCTAAAGTATTAAGTAATTACTTTTTTAAATGTGTTAAGGACTAGTCATAACAGTGCTCATTGAAAATGTGTAATTACACGTTAAGCACATTTTTATAATTATAAAATAATAATAACTTAGAATTAATTATATCTTGCAGAAAACAAGCTGCACGTATATTTTAATGACCTCAATGCAAAATCCACAAAAGTTGACCTAATAGATTCCACTACCAGAAAAATCACTGAAGTTTACCAGTAATGTTTCATTTACAATGAGGTCAATTGGACTATATTGATAAGATTTAAATGATTTTAAAAAGGCAGGAACCTTTTGAAGTCAAAAATTGAAATAAATATGTTCTAGCTTAAAAGTTTGCAGTAAATAATCACTAACCCTTGGTAAGGTATCTTGGAGATGTTTTTTATGTTCTAAATAATGGAAACTCTGAAGACAACCTTCATTCAGATCAGTAAAACTTACTCCATTAATTTTACAGAAACATTAATAGGTGGAATAGGGTTAGCATATAAATGTATTGTTTCAAATTGATTTAAAACTGATCTAGATGATCAAGGCATGCAAAATTAGGATTAACAGTTACAATGTGATAGGCCCGCTCTTGGTGACTCGCACAAGGTTGGTTCATTAAATATGATTGTTAGTTCACGTTGATTGATAATGCAATAAATCAAAGTGTATAAAAATCTGTATAGGCCAGAATTTGCACCTAATATTTATGTCTTTTAATTGTGATTTGAGACCAGTGGCTTAACTAATTTCACAAGGCTTAAACATCAAGTAGAGAACTCCTCCGTCTTTATTGTATCTTATGTCTGTGCCCAATAGCTCTCTCTGAAGCTTATCATACCAAGATTAGGCTAATGATATGTTGAATAGATTCATATGGACTGTTCCTCCATCTGTATTTGAAGACAACATTATGATTCTGTGCAGTTTTTTTGTATCAGGTATGTAATTTTTAAGAATAGTTCTATATATATGGACATAAGCATATTCCTGAGACAAAGCTTGAAAAGAACCCTGATATCTAATTGGCGGGGAGAATGTTGGTTCAATTCTGATTTTTGAAATCAGTAGATGAGGTTAGAACTGTGGTATTGTGGTCCTGAGAAGAAACTCCATTACTGCTGAGTTCAATGGATATCTTATGAAAGTTATTAGTCAGTCATTAAAAATTAAGTGTCCTCAACAAACAGCCAGTGAACCAACCAACAAACAACATTTTCTACCCATTTAGCTACAAACTGAAGAGAATTTGACAAAACATGTAATATTAGTCTTCAAATCCAGTAAGACACTAAATTATTACTTTTCTACAGGTAAACATTCTGGTGATCTTAAAAAGGTATGTAGTCTAGAGTGTACCCATTAGTTGTTGTGAAACACATTGGAGACACTCGAAGAACCTTTAAACAAAGACTATAAAAGAACAAATAAGTGCAATAAGACTGCTGCTAACCAGTTGCCTTCCTTCTAGTTAGCAGTTCAAAATTAGTGACAATGGCAAATAGCTGTGCCATAACAAAGACAAGTTTGGCAATAGAAAGTGAACCTGAGCCTCTTGAATCATCAGGCTCCTCTCCCCATATCACCAAAACTGAAGAAGTGTGAAAAACAACTTGTAAGGCTA